TTTTCCTTTCCATACACATCACCGTATTCTTTAATTCTGTTATTCAGGGGTAAAGGGATTGGTTTTACTTCTGTTTGTTCAATCTCCTATTCTTTATGTATGCCCTCTTACTTTGTTCAATTCTGGAGTTGCACTGTAAGTTGGGGTGGTCCTTTTTGCAGTTTTGAGATTTACTTAAGGGGGAGCTGTGATTCAAAATCTATCTGCAGGTCCTGGTATTCACTGACAGGTGTGTGGATAATCTGGAACCCACTTCCCACTGCCTTAGAATCTGTTCATGCAGTGGGGCTGTAGGTTTACTCCCTGAAATAAAATGTGGTTAGCAGAGGGGAGAGAATGGAGCAGATAGTGGGTTGAAGAGGGGGGTGGAGAGATAGAGGAGTAAGGGGGGAAACAAACGAGTGTGCCAACAAATGGAGAGAGAGACCTATACTGAAACAGATAAAAACAATAGACCACAGCTACAGATGAACCAACTTCCATACAAAAAATAAATAAAACATATAGTGATGCTGGCATACAAGCTAACCAACCACCTTATTGGTGTGCTGTTCCTCTATACAAAGATACGGTTTACAGAGAGAAGAAAAGGAAGAGGGAAAAAAAGGAACAATACAGTAGGAATAGAATTAAGTCATTAAACTAACAGAATCAATGAAGTACACTCTGAGACTTGTCATTTAAGTTCAATGTCCTTTCAGTTCTGATTTCTAGCTTTCTTTTCAAGCTGGTAAATTAGTTTGCAGTTAGGGTCAGTTGCCCCTGGTCTGCTGTGAAGGACAGTTCAGATCACCCTCCGTTCACCACTCTGGCCTATGCCTTTTTCAAGCTTGTTTCTCCCATTTCGGTGTTGTTACCTTGCATCACCAGCAGGTGGTGCTATCTCAGCTACTCGTCCCAGAGGGGGTGGGCCTGGACAGGAGCTGGCAGAGACTGAAGATGGATGCCTGCCTCAGGGCACATGGCAGGAGACTCATGGAGGGCAGGACGTCTCAGTCGCAGGATAGGTGGCAGCAATCCCTGCAGATCTTCCCTGAAGGGGCTTCAAGGACTGAAGTCGTGGATTGCCCCCTGCCCGGGTGGTACTACTGGCAGCAGCCACAGTGACAGCGGCATCTGTGCTGCAGTGGCTGTCCAGTCTCCTGCGATGCCCCAGCGGTGGCAACGTCCGAGCTCCGTATGAAGAGCAGGCTGCGATGTTGGGATCTGCAGCCCCTGGGGCAAGAGCCAGAGACCCACTGCAGTTCTCCTTTGCAGAGGGTTTCACAGACCAGGTTGCCCCATTGCCATCTTGCCAGAAGTCCTCAGTGTGGTTTTAATTTACATTTCTTTGATGACTAGTGAAGCTGAGCATTTTTTCATTTTTCTATTGGCTGCTTGTGTGTCTTCTTTTGAGAAGTGTCTATTCATATCTTTTGCCCACTTTGTAATGGGATTGTTTGTTTTTTTTCTTTTTGGCACATTTGAGTTCCTTGTAGATCCTAGATATCAGGCCTTTGTCAGATATACAATTGGCAAACATTTTTTTTCCAGTCCATGGGGTGTCTTCCTGTTCTCTTGATGGCTTCTTAGACTTTGCAGAAGCTTGTTGGTTTAATGAGGTCACACTTGTCTATCTTATCTCTTATGGCATGGGCATTTGGGGTTTTGATCAGGAATTGGTTGCCAGTTCCAATTTCCATAAAGGTGTCTCCT